CGGAGACCTTCGCAATCTTCTTTACCTGGTTCCGTGGAAGATCTGACACCTCTCCGTTTAGGACCTTCTTCATTTGTTGGATCCATAAGTCTTCGTCTTTGTGAACCTTGATTCTCCTCGAACGTTCATCCTGTTATCCAGACTGGTCTACAGGAGTCCGAGAACTTACGTCCACTTCCGCACGCGACCTCGTCATCACCACCAATGCACTTCAGCAGCGGTAGCTAAGGACTCAGGTATTTCGGCTTTAGAGTTACACGTCCCCAATTCAACTTGGTCGGAGCGAACCGCATCAGTCACAGGGGTACTTAGGACTTCCGAAGGCTTCATGATCTTTTCAGTGATCCTGGATACGAGACGTAGGTGCACTATCTCATCGGGAACGTCGAGATCCCAGGATTCTCCAAGCACGAGAGCCTTAGAGGTCAGGTAGTCGGCCGCTTGGTTAAACTCACGTTTAACATGAATCAATTTAACCGACACAAAATTCTTCCTGAGATCCTCATACTCAGCTAGGCGTCGTTGCAGGTTGGGCTGGTTACAATTGATGAGACCCTGGGCCTGTTGGACGACGATTTGGGAATCACCGACTGCCACAAGCTCCTTGACGTCATACTGCATAGCGAGCTTTAGCCCCAGAATCAAACCATGGTATTCGGCATCATTGACTGTCACACATTCAAGGATGTGGCCTTGAGCTTTCACAACCTGCCATCCTGGCAGCTTCCACCGTATGCATCCACAACTTCCTCGGCGAGTAGAAACCTTCGCAGCGCCATCAAAACTCAGAACGTAGCCTTGGTAGTCTGCTTCCAACGTTTCCAGACTCACCGGTGGCGTTACTTTCAGACGCCCCTTGGCAGGAATCAGGGTCTTTGCAACTTTATTTAAATGTTCCCTGGGAGTAATACCAGACCCGAGGATGGGCAGCGCCATCAAAACTCAGAACGTAGCCTTGGTAGTCTGCTTCCAACGTTTCCAGACTCAGCGGTGGCGTTACTTTCAGACGCCCCTTGGCAGGGATCAGGGTCTTTGCAACTTTATCTAAATGTTCCCTGGGCGTAATCCCAGACCCGAGGATGGCCGCAAGGCCATCCTCATCTTTCTGAGTCCGATGGATTTCCAGTGTCCATCTTGATAGTTCCAGCCCCCACTTCAGATGTCGTCCATCTGCGGTGTTGGATTGTAGTAACCACTTTAGTACAGAGTAACGCGTATACACCACAACTGGGAATTTGGATCCATGGATCAGAGGTATGAAAACCACCAGAGTCCGCAAGATTGCGAGCACTTCCTTCTCAGCTATGTGGTAACGTAGCTCTGGTTCCTTCAACACTCTGCCAGTAAATTGTACTGGATGTATGAGTCCTTCATGCTCCTGACCCAAAACAGCACAAGCCGCCCACGGGTTAGGATGCAGAATGATCACGAAAGGCTTGGTTCTATCTGGATGTCACAGCAACGGGGTCGACACCGTTTCAGTATCTCGAAAGACTCCCTTGCGGCTTCCAAGTTCCGTCCAGCGCTTACACGTTCTTCGTCTAGTTCGTATAGCACAGCGGCAACTACGGGTAAGTCTTCAATAAACTTGTTGTAATAATTCAGACTTCCTAAGAAGGACTGCACTCCCTTGTACGTTGACGGGA